TCCCTGGGGTAACTCTACTCAAATCAGTATAGTTATACCAAGGATTAATTTGGCCTGATATCACCCAGGAATCTCCTGAGCAGGAGATCTGTGAACTGCGGAACAGTCTCCAAAGGAAAGTGGTGGAAACTGCATGGCTGAGGACATCTTAGATTAGACTACACAGAACACCAGAGAAGAGTTTGACGGGAACAAGCCCAAGAGGATGAACTAGGGCCCAGATCTTCAAAGGTATTTAGGCACTCAGCTCCCATTGAAATCAATGGCAGTTAGGCTCCTAAGCACCTTGAGCATCTAGGCCTAGAGGATCCAATAGGACTTTTCTCTTTCTAACTTCTTGGGTCTTATGACCTCGTCATGTATGATCAACCATCCCTGCTGGCTATCCCACTCCTGAAGCCTCCCATACTTTGCTTGCTTGGTCTGTCATCAAGAAATCAATTAAATATATAAATATGTGTTTATTATTTATTAATAAATCAATAGCTTGTGTTTATGAATGACTGGGAAGTTCTTTTTTGGCTCATCTCAATAATTTAAGAACCCCGCACAGAAAGCTATCAAAGACAGCATAAAGCAACTGGCCGTGCCCAAGGGTGAATGGACTACCGCTGCTTAGCCGAGCTTTCACCAAGCTCAATTCTTGCAGTGAAGAAGAATTGAAGTTAGCATTAAGGTCACCGTCTATCTTGATAAGTAGTGGGACCTAATCTAAGTAAGAGTAGCTCCTTTGGTCAGATTTTCTCCCTTCCTCCTGGTCAAATTCTTCTAGAAATCAAATGTAATCATGATTTTGAGATCTGGCACATGAGGGGGATGGACCTGGTGGTCATCTGGTCCAGAACTATCATACAAATGTGCTTGAGCTGCAAACTTCAGTCTGTAGCAGAACAGCGCAAGGGGTGAGGTTGAGTTTAATGACCTAGTTCAGACAGATGGCTGTATTCTCCGTCAAAGAAGAACACTCAATCATCAATGTCACAGAGCTAGTGCTCTGGTGGGGATATTAGCTACCCAGTTCCTGTATGGTGAACTGCTGCCTAAGCTGATCTAATTAAATCTGGCATCTGGTTTATTACTACTTCAGCTTTATTAGGCTTCTAATTGAAGCAAAAAGTCTCCCTAGTTGACGTGGCTCACTCCCTGTCCTATCCTCCCCACATTTTCTTTTGCAAGATTTTTCCCTCTGTATCAGTCTCTTGGTTTTTGCTTGTTTCTGCCAGCGAATATTTTTCACTCCTGATTGAGATGAAGGGAATATAATTGCATGTACATCCAATGTCAACAACAACTTTCATTAACTACTTCCTGGTTCTTCTTCTGCTGACCTTTGCAGACTGAATAGCATTGCTTCTGTGTCTGCCCAAAGTTTGGGAAAAGATGTTGGTAATGATGGGAAAGGCCAGCAGCAGCTGAGGTGGTATCCCTCCCTGGGAGTAGATGTTAAAGGGCAAAAACAGGTGGCACAGCATAGGCAAATATCATGGCATGGGCAGTGAGAGAGCCATGTGGGCTTACTTTTCTTGCCAATTAGACCCCAATCTAACACATGCTTAACTTTAGTAGGACTTCTCATGTGCACAAAATTAAGCATGAGTGTTAAGTCTTTGCAAGATCAGTGCCTTAGTTACTAAGACCTGCAAACAAGGAGATCACCCAGTTTAGTATTTGAAGGGGCAAAGTGTTACTGCAGTTCTTTGTTATAAATGCAGCTGGTGCCTGATTGTATGAGGAAACGCTTTATGAACTTTGATTTTGGACTCCCGGGATTTGATTCTAGGCTAGTGACTGATTTTAGGCTACTGAGCTGCATTCAGAACGACATAGTTCTATCTAAGAGAGGAGGAGGATTGCCTTTGCTAAACTAGATATAGGACCAAGTCAAGGGATCAAGGCTTACTTTGGCCCTAAGGGTACACTCCAGGCCCCCATAGGGATTTAGTAGAAGTCATTGAAAGATAAATTACTGCAGTCTATTAATTTTTTTCATCATTGTTACTTGTAATAGAATAATAGGAAATCAATGAGTTCCACAGCCTGAGACATCTTACATGCCAAATTGTAACTCGAAAGCTCCCTATTGATTTGAGAGCTGTTTTAGGGTTAGGGGCGAGGAACAACAATGGATTTTTGGATACAGCGTCTATGTTTAGATCTTCTATGATCATCTCTATGTAACCACATAGTTCTGTCATTTCTGGCTATATTCCTGTACACCTTCCAATAAAAATACAAACTGCTGAATCAACAATGAAACCACATGGTTACCATAAAATCCTGTGCTCAGTGGTCTGTGAGGTGTCTATTGCTCTATCATTTCAGTGGTTCAGACTTCAGGTCCTTCACTCTCAGGCTGGCTGGCGCTGGAATCACTAGGGGAGACCAGATGCCCAGCGACCAGGTCAAAGGAGCACCTCAGGTTCCCTTCTAACTTGCCGGAGGAATGGCAGTGACAAGTTCCAGGGGGGCTGTTGTGATCTAAGAACTGGAGTAAGTTGGGGTAGACATTGCTGGCTGGAGGCTTTGTGTCTCTACTGGAGTCACGCGGCAGATCAGCCTCCAGGCTACAGACAAAACCCCTGTTATGGGAGGTGCCAGATGTACATAGAGCCAGGTGCACACAGTTACAAAGGCAGAGATGCCTTGTCAGGCTGCCTCTGACCAGAGCGTCAGTGACACAGCATGCTGACTTCTAAGCCTATACCCAAATTACCACAGTGCCTCAGAAATCACTGTGACAATCTAAACAGACCCAGCCCTCCTGGATGGGGGGGCTAGAGGTTAGTGAAATATAAGGCCTTTAATGGTATATTTACATAGAAATGTTCATGCCCAAGGATCCCCAAAGTGCTTCATAAATTGTAAATACAGCACAGAAATACAGCAACCTCTGGTGTGCAGCATGCCAGTGAGGGAGGCTCAGGTGGGGGAGAGGAAATACTGGCCAAAGCCACAAGGATTAATTACGAGATCTTTCATATCCCCAGAGAACAAACTGGGCCTCCTGCAGAGCAGACAGATCTCATCCTCTTTACTTCAGGAGAAAAAAATTCAAAGACAAAAAGCAAGTGGGAACTGAGCAGTTCCGAACGCTGTGTCAACGATCCTTCACTTTCTGCAGTGCGCCTCGGGCTTGGAGCACATGCGGCTTCGCATAGTCTGAAATTGCTGGAGACCTTTGCAATACCGACAGCAGGTCTAACAGAGAATGGGCCAAGCATGTGGTCTCTGAGGGTTGTCTGGACTGAAATCATGGAGAAATTCCAGCTCAGGTAGACGTACCTGAAGTAGTTTGAATCTAGCAGTGTTTCAGCAGGGCTAGCTCACGCTGAAGTGCATGCTGCCATGGTTTCATTGTTCCAGGGCCGGAGCTAGATTAAAGCTAGCTTGGGAACATCTACTTGAGCTGTAGTTGCACCCCGTGACTGCAGTATAGATGTGCCCAGAGCGTCTTCGGCCTCGTCTTCAGTAGGAAAAAAGGGGGTGTTCTTGCCTCATGTTAGCTCATGTGAGGTAACAAATGTGAGGTAAGATCACAGGCTGTTTAACATGAGTGAGCAGGTCGTGGTAAACCCTAGACTGCCACTGGAGTCTTTGCCTCCACCTCAGGCATATGAAAACTACACCCTGCCTTGACTTCACTGGGAATGTACCTCACGTTCGTTACCAAGTGCAAGCTACCATCAAAGAAGAACACACCTTGTTTCGTAGTCAAGGGGCACCCTTTCAGGCAGATCTTTCCCTGTGCTGTTTGCGTGGCTTGCCTGTGTGTGTTAATACACAGCTCCAGGCTCTGCCCCACTAAGCCTTTGGAAAGCAGCTTCAGTATTTCATGTGAGAGTCAACTGACTTCATCCCCCGCTGGCGGCAGAGTGCAAAGGCCCTGCTGGCATCTGGAGTTATTAGAGTTCACATTCCTTTTTAATTCTCAGGCTGGGGCCTCTAATTGTCATGGTGTGTATGCTGGGCCCAAAGTACCCACTGCATGGTGCCAAGTCCCTGGGACCTGAGGGCTTGTTCTGGCAGGGGAAGCCTGTGTGTGTATGTAAGGGCCTTCCACCACTCCTGTGTAGCCCCTAGGGAATGCAGGTCCCTGTGGGTTTCAGGAGCTGCTTCTCTGGAAGCCTACAGGTGGATGACTCCACCCCGAGTCTCTGCTCTAGCAGTGGTGAGGATCCTCCTGGGCACCAACCCTGATGGAAGAGGGAAGACCTGGTCGAAGGTGACCCCTGTCTATCACAAGGTGTTTAGTTGCTGTTGTCGCTAACCCCAAACTGCTTAACCCTGTGAATTACCCTTGTGCAGGACCCACCTCTGATTTTGCTCAGCTTGTTCCAGCTCCTTAATGAGCAGTTTCCCCCTGATTTCAGGGGAGAGACACACTCCACAGCCTATTGAAAACCACACCTTCTTCCTCAACCTTTAGAGTTGTTTATTAAAGCAGCTTCAGGCCAAGGGCAGCCGCAGTGCTAGGGCTCTGAGCCTCTTGGAGCAGCCAGCTGGCTTTCCCCAGGTACAACACAAGGGTTCTTTCATCCCAAGGCAGTTTGCAGGGAGAAAGGGAGGAACCCAAAGTAAGGATCAGATTGCAGCAGGCTCCACCTCCAAATGACATGCTCCAGGAGAAAAACATTAGGTACCTGCACCTACCTGTTACACAGCCAGGATTGAGCATCGTCAAGGGGAGAGGGGAGGAAATCATCCTTTGGAAACAGCCCCCTGAGTGCTCCTGAATTTCCTGCCTCCCATCTTCTCCCGGAGACGCTGCAAACAGCCTATACCAGGTGCCTTAGCTCTGCTAAGGAGGAGTGGAGCTGGGCAGTGCTAATCAGTTGACTCTGGCAGTCACACATACTGTAAACAGAAAGGCAGGAAAGTAAATGGGACGTCAGCTGTAGCTGTCAAAGAGCTCCCTGAATGGTCCTCTGGAGCTGGGAGGCAGCTGTTTGCACACACATGCTCGCACGCCAAGCACCGCTAAGCTCTTCCGACCTCTGATGTGTGCCTGAGCCAGGATGGAGAGTATTAGCAACAGCCTGAAGAATAAAGCAACCGAGAGACATCACAGAGCAGAGGTGATGATTGCAGGAGAGCAGCTGAGGTAAGGGGAACTCAGATTTGGGGGAGGGGGGAGCTTTTGCTGTCACTCAACTCTGGCCTGATATGCCTATGTAAATGAGCGGTTGTAATTATTAATCAGGTGGTGAATGCAGTTTGCAGGGGGGTTGGGAGGGAGAAGAGAGAAACAAGGATGAAAAGAAGCTGAAATAAGAGGCTAAAAGAGCTATTAGTGGGCTTGTGGCTACAAACTGTCTAGCGTGCCCCCGACCCCCAGCTCTTGTGGGTTCAAAGCACTGTTTCTGTGCAGAACTTTTCTTCCTTCTGGGGATTCCAAGTGACCAAAATCTCTCTCTTCTAAGGTATTTCCTGATTTGTCTTTTATAAAAATCAGTTTCTTTTTAGTAATCACCCCTGGATTTTTAGCATGGGCTTTACTCTCCTCTCTTCCCAAACTTCCTAAGTGAAGGGAAAAACTTCCCTCATTAAATAAAACAACCAGTTCCTAGGACATGGGCACCTGGGAAGGAAGCAGACTTCAGCTTCCTCTTCATTGTTTAGTCGTTGTTTGCTTTTCAAACATTAGCCCTTGTTTTGCTCAATACTCCTTGAAGAGAAGGACACCTTGTCAGCCTTGGAGTCTGAGTTGTGGCATTGAGCTGCTAACACAAGGTCTCTGGTCTTCCGTACATGTTTCTAGCTGATCATTTTAGTTGCTGCATCTCTGATCTGGGCTGGGAAAGTTTTAGCGAGTTTTGAGAATGGCACTGTTGAAAATGTTACCCGAAGTTCCAGTTTCAAAAATGATTTAGGTGGCAAAGTGCCCAAGTCTCTTCTGAAAACAGGGTGTAGGTGTCACCCTGCAAAGGGTAACTGGGCTGGTGACAGCCAGGGTAAGACCTTCTGCTTGTGGGCTGGTTACTGGTGTTAGGGATCTGAGCCATAGCTGCAGAGCACAAAGTCCTTCCTGGTTACAAGGCAGAACCCCTTACTGGTCTGTGTGGTCTCCAAAACATCACCGTAGGCTCCTCAGTCGCTTTACCCACTGTGTTGAACTGCCCCAATTCTGACACCACATTCAGGGTGATTTATTGTTATCTCTTCTTCAATGTATCTGATAAAACTCTTTAGGAATGAGCCAATGCTTTCCTTCCCTGCCTGCAAATGAAGGGGATAATCACTTCACAGGCACCTGTTTTGTTTTTAAATGGAAAAATCCCTGTTCATCTCTCTCCCTCCAGGAGCACAGGCTGTTTATTAAGCTCCAAGATTTTTATTTGGGAGGAGAATAGAGAACTTGCTTCCTTAAGCAATGTGAAACATCCAGAACTCATGTCACTAGCGAATTTTAGGATCTGTTAGTTGGGTTAGGAAGGGAGGCACCCTACTCCAGTGGGTCCTTGGCGTGTCGGCCTTATCCTTGTTATTTATTTGTATTATGCTAAGAGCCTACAATGCCCAGCATGGCATCAGGGCCCGTGGTGCCAGGCACTAGATCCTCAATAACAAACAAACAAAAAAGACAACACGTGCCCCAAAGAGCTTGCAATCAAAGCTTTGCACCTCTACCTCGATATAACGCGACCCGATATAACACGAATTCGGATATAACGCGGTAAAGCAGCGCTCTGGGGGGGGGGGGGGCTGCACGCTCTGGTGGATCAAAGCAAGTTCAATATAACGCGGTTTCACCTGTAACGCGGTAAGATTTTTTGGCTCCCGAGGACAGCGTTATATCGAGGTAGAGGTGTATATGAAGAAAAACAATGAGGGTCAACCACTTCTCCTGGTTATTGTACGTCCCACACACCTCACCTTGCCTTGTCGCTAGATACCACCTTCTTAGCCCTGGGAGTTGCCAAGGCCTCTCTGTAGCTGGAAGAATTGCTGTTTGATGGCCCCTTCCCTCCCTAAGCCAAAGCTTGCTGCCTTTGCAATACTTTGAGTCCAAGCGGTGAGGGACCAAGTCTTGGAAACTGAACCCAGGTCTGCTGTAGTGGGAAGCGAAACAGCAGCTGGACTTTTTACTGAATTGCATAATTTAAATTGCTCACCACAGAAATGTGACCTTTAAGGAATGGCCCATCCCCTGGGCAGTACAGGATTGTTCTCGACAGGATATTTTTCTAGCGCTTTGCCCAGCCTTGTTGTAAACATCCCAAGTAATGGGATGTTTTAAACAAGCACCATGTCCTGTGCCACTTGAGGGTCAAAAACATTGGGCTCAAATATTCAGGGAGGGACTAAAACCATCATTATGGGTGTCAAACTTGCAATCATATCTGTGCAGGTAGAAGGGGGCATCTGCCGGGATCTACTTGCAGGATCAGTATCTAATTTACCCTGGGAATTCAGTCTGGTGACATCTGGGTCCTCTACAGGGATGTTCATGATATGGGCCATGAATTTACTGCACTTTGTGACTAACCTCCCATGAGCAGAGCTCCTACTCTATTATGCTAAATGGCCCATCAGATCTTTCTGGCTCTTAGCAGCAAGGAAGAGAACTTGGGTCAAATGTGTGACAACCTGTACTATCAAGCCACCCATCTTGTACCACTCTTTGCTCAGGAAGCTCCCTCACTGTTGCCAGCCTGAACTCACTCATTGAACGAACCTATAATATAGAAAGGATGCCAAGAAATCTAGAGCTTTGCTGTTGTGAGTGGGTCCCAAGGAGCTCTTTAGGGTGTGCTCATTACAGCATCAGCTCATCCTGAACAAGATGTGTCTGGGTTGCCTTGGTGTGTGTGAGGTGAGCGTGATTGATGGCGGCTGTTTCTGTGAGGAGAATAATGCGTGAGGGGAATTGGGCTGGAGAGCAGGTGGGATGGAACATGTATAAAACAAAGCCACCAGGCGCTGGTGTAAGAGTGAAAGGGAATGAGCTAGGTAGGGGAGCTGAGAGAGATTAGTTTACCCTAGGCGACGTTTTCACCTGCTGTTTGGGATGCAAACATTACATCAGGTCAGAGAAGGTGAGCCCTGCTCCCAGCTGGGGAGCAATGAAGACCAGGCTTCGTTGCATCTTTGACCTGCTCTTTGCAACAGGCTTGAGTTTCTTGTTGCCTGGATAACAGCAAATGGATTTAATACAGTTCAGCAGCTGTGACCTGTCAAATTTACCCTACCCCGGGGGTGGCCAACCTGTGGCTCCGGAGCTACATGCGGCTCTTCAGAACTTAATATGCGGCTCCTTGTATAGGCACCGACTCCGGGGCTGGAGCTACAGGCGCCAACTTTCCAATGTGCCGGGGAGTGCTCACTGCTCAACCCCTGGCTCTACCACAGGCCCTGACCCCATTCCATCCCTTCCCGCCCCCTCCCCTGAGCCTGCTATGCCCTCGCTCCTCCCCCCCAGAGCCTCCTGCACGCCATGAAACAGCTGATCGGGAGGTGCAGAGAGGGAGGGGGAGGCGCTGATCAGCAGGGTTGCTGGTGGATGGGAGGTGCTGGGAGCAGGGGTGGGTGGGAGCTGATGCGGGGCTGCTGACGTATTACTGTGGCTCTTTGGCAATGTACATTGGTAAATTCTGGCTCCTTCTCAGGCTCAGGTTGGCCACCCCTGCTCTGCCCTATTGCGTCTATGGACAAATGGAACTGACTGCAGATAACAAGATTCCAAAGCGTGCTCAGTGCTTGTCTCGGTGGAAGGGAAGGTGCTGCAGGTGTGGTACACAGTCAGGAGCTAATACTCTTGCTGCTGCAGTCTTGTTTTTGGGATGCTCTTGAAGAATCCAGAAGCTACTTCTCTTTTTTTCTCCTTTCCTCTCATTGAGAACCCCGGCTGGCTGCTTCCCTGCTTTGCAGGGCCGCCCGGGGGAGGAGTGGGGGGAGGCAAGTGGGGCAATTTGCCCCAGGCCCCGGGCCCTGCAGGGGCCCCCATGAGAGTTTTTCGGGGCCCCTGGAGTGGGGTCCTTCACTCACTCCGGGGGCCCCGGAAAACTCTCGCGGGGCCCGGGCCCCCAGAGCTTCTTCCACTCTGGGTTTTCGGCGGCAGTTCGGCGGCGGGGGGTCCTTCCGCTCCAGGGACCCGCCGCCGAAGTGCCCTGAAGACCTGCGGCGGAGGGTCCTTCCACCCCGGGTCTTCAGCGGCAATTCGGCGGCGGGGGCCCCCTGCCGCCAAAGATCCCAGGCCCCCTGAATCCTCTGGGTGGCCCTGCTGCTTTGTGCAGCATGGCAGAAAAGAAGGGGGCAGGATGGGGGAGAGTGAGAGAAAGTGTGTATGACTGGTGAGTGAAGAGTCCTCCTTTTGGGGTGAGGAGGGAGAAGGACTCCACTGTGGATCAGCTGACTTTCCCCCTTTTTTTCTTACTCCCCCCACCCTGCCAGCAGCTGGTCTGTAATAGTCCAGTTGAGACCAGAAGTGAGCAAAATCAAAGCGGCCAATGCTGAGGTATGTGAATCTGGCTTAGCATTTTGCACCCAGGGGCCAATCGTGAGTTCCAAACTTGGCATATGTGTCGCACCCTTTATTACAGGCAACTTCTCCTTCCAACCCTCTGTCAGGCAGGTGGCTATAGATGGGGAAACTGAGGCAGAAAGACTGAGCGACTTGCCTGAGGCCATAGCAGAGGGAACTGGAGCAGAGCTCTGTAGTCTGCTCGCCCACTGAACCCCAGTTACTCCTCCATAAGTGGTGGAAGAGACTACTGTACTTTTAAGAATGAGCTGGGTTCTGACTGGCTGATGTTTTTCTTCTGTGAACTTTGATAACTAAATAAGATTAATCAGTCCTATTCTATTTTTATATACACTCCCCCTCCTCCCTTGACTCCACATGTCCCTGCCCTAGTTCTGGGTTTGGCTGTGCAAATCTTTGCTCTACCGTCAGGATTGTTTGGCTTCTGACAAGTTCACAGTTGCTCTCAGTTTGGATTGGCTGTTGAGATGAGCCGGTTTGGTGTCAAAACAGCTTTCCCAGCCAGAAATAGCTGCTTGCGAGATATATAAACAAACTCCACCAAGACTCCTTCTTTTTTCTAGTCCTCTGGAATCCTATGCTCCCCTGTGCTGTGCAGCAAGGCATGAAGAGTGGAGTGA